ATGGACAATGTAACTGTTTTAAATAGACTCACCCACTTCAAAATAAAAACACAGAGGTAAACATGAGTCACTAAAGCAGAACATGATTGTGATTATTGTGCAAATGTGGTTTTGTTGTTTTTACGTTCGGAGTTTGACTTCCATTGCCCAGCTTAACCGTTTATGTGCATCTCTTAGCAGCTTTTTTTGAGTTTAGTCTTAAAAAAAATTTTCAGAGAGATTAATTGATACTGCAGGGAGACATTTATCACAGGGCTGTGTTAAGACAAGCATTTAGCATAAACATCTGGGCTAGAATAATATCGTAAAGTCAGCATATTATGCGTGCAAGGCTTACACTCGGCCTTAATGCAGTAAATAGTAGTGCAGCTAGCATTCCATTTCCAGTTACTTCGGGAAAATAAGGAGGGGAATTTCCAACCAGTCATTACGTTTAAGTAAATTATGTTTTACCCAACATGATTATTTCCCCTTAGGGGTCAATAAAGTCCTATTTATCCCTCGTTCTCAAACCAGTTCAGCGCAGAGTAGCATAGGGATGAGCAAACAGCAAAGCTTTATCACCTGTGGGAATTAAACACTAACTTCTAAAATGATTTTACCTACTTTTCAGTCAGTGAGGGTTTCAGGCCTGTTGATTTATTGTATTTTTCCTCAGTGGTGCCTCTGTTTAAGAAAGACTTCAGAATTTCTTGTGTTTCTGAAGAGATCCAAAAAACAGGGGCAAAAAAAGACAAAGAAAACAGACAACATTTCTACTTACCTTGTAGCAGCACTAAATATCAGATGCATGTTTGTGTATTTTATATAGGCCTATAAGCTTTCAAAAGTTTTTCTATCTATCTATCTATCTCTAATTAATAGTTTTATTCAGCAAGGCTGAATTCAGTTGATAGAAAATTACAATAAAGTGTTTTGCATTGTTACAAAATATTTCTATTTCCAATAAATACAGTTCTTTTGAGATGTCTATTCATGAAAGAATCCTGAAAAAAAGTATAATAATTTTCACCAACATATTAAATAGTATGAAAGTTAACTTTGATAATATAAAGAAATGTTACTTGAGAGTTTCAAATAAATGGTGAACATGAGAGACTTTTTATAAAAACATAAAAAATCTTGCCAACTTCAAATTTAAATGCTGTGTAAATGCATTTTAACTGCTAACATGAGTATAGCATGCTAGCATAACAATTTTTTTATGGATGCTGTTTAGCCAAAATATTTTTATGACAGCTTTTGCTGACATATATCAAAGTTTAGTACTTTAACGTAGCAGTATAATGGTTTCACCCCACACCAACCAAGGTTGAATACTCAAACTAGTACCCACTTAAACACATTGAACGTTTAAATTAGCCCTTCACAACTAGTCTTTGTTGTGCACTGTTTATTGTAGTAATTCTCGCCTGAAAATCTGAGTCCCAGTGTGAGTGTCAACTGCCGTTCCGACAACCCCAGGGTGCTTTAACCTGTGACCGTGAGCAGCCAGGAGGAATGCCAGTCAACTGCATGCTCGGAGGTTCACATGTGGCCTTAAGGCTGGCGAAGCAGAGAGTGAAAGGTGGGGCTCAGTCCACCTGGGCTATGGCTTTACTTATTGAATAATTAAATGGAGAGAACTGAGGTCATCTGGAATGGGAGGTGGAGAAGCAAACAAACCTTACGGCCCAAGGGCCTACAGCTCTATTTATAGTCTTTGCTGTCCTGCCTCCATTCTGTTCTTCACACACTGTAAATCAATGAGATAAGCACTCTGGACTCGGGCTGTACAGTACTTCTTTTGCTGATACACTCTACTTCTTTCAAACTCACAGTCTCAACACCTTTCTCATTTTCTCTTGCTTTCTGAGGGATGAGAGATCATTGTCGCATTGACTTTCTGTGCACTACACTTTACTGTTGACTGAACTGCTGGGAACAGGACATTTATAGGGATAGCTCACCGAAAACTGAAAATGTTGTTGTTTTGGACACGTTTTTTTTTTCAGAATATCCTCTTTTGTGGTCTCCGAGTATAAAAATGCATCAGTGCATTATTATTCAGAATTTCTAAGTAATTGTTATTAGTATTATTGGTTCATTAAATTTTCTGTCCCATCATGTACAAATTTATTATTCATGTTTAACAGTCTACTTTTTTTTATTTTTTTTGCTATACTGTCTTTATTTAATCAATATAATTCATATAATAATTTTGTTTAATTTTTTTATAATAATACTGAAAATTGTCTCTCCAGTTAAATTTATGTGAGCATAGTTTTGGAAGTAATTATGAATCATTCCAAATGAATCAAATTGGATCATTGCATGGACATTGATGAACATGAATTAATTCCCTTCAGGCTTTTTAAATGTCACGGTCTTAGCAATATGAGTCGACAACTGCTTCACCAGCTAGACAAGCACCAAACCAGCACTAAGTAAAGATTCGAACCTATATAACTTAAAAGGAACATAATCAATGAGTGTGAAACTTGTCCTTGGTTGGGGAGCACCAGGTCTGATTTATTCTGTGACCCCATTTTTAAGCTATAATGAAAGTAAGGACAGCATTGTCAATTAGACATTGTATTTCCTAAGAGCCTTGCAAAAATCCCAAGGAATCCGCTTTATCCATTCAGTGCCTCTCTGTGCTTTCAGTGATCTAGAGACTGAGCAACAAAAGGTTGTTTTACTTGTTTTTGAATGCACAGTTTGCTACGTAAATTATTATGGCGAAACTGTATGAGATCAATTAAGATAATGACATCTCTTCATTCTCAAAGCTTCAGGAAAATTATGAATTTATTTCATATCAGTCTGTGTGTTTTATTCTCTTGATTATTAAGGCAGGAGTAAAACATGACCATAGCGAGCCAATGTTTATTAGCCAAAGGGTCAAATAGATGACTTTGCTATCGCCATGAATGCAATGAGGTATTCTTTTATCATAATGAAAAAGCCTTTATGAGTGCACTGAATCCTCCAGTGTTGCTTTATAAAAGGCATATTTAGGATTCGTAGTGTGTCGTAAACATTAGGCCAGTACTTTACACAAAGACATTTCTCGTCAAAGAAAGAAAGATTCACTTTGCCAGGCCATTTCATTGGCTACTCTTCCCCCTCTGAATGTCAAATGCAAGCACTCCTCCCAAATGTTCAGCCATATGTGCTCTCTTACATGACATTCTCTGCTAAATGACCTTTGCTAGAGCTTACAGTGATACTGTGTGAATTGCACTGAACAATAAATGTGACAAAGGCATTTTCTTTCAAATTTTCTCTCTGTCCTTTGTTTTAGGATCAAGGTTTACAGCCAGAGATACATGACCCAAAATGTATTTGGACACTTAAACCAAGTAAATGGGATAAAATGCAAAGATAAATGTCTTTCCATTATTTATATATATGTATATACATACAGGTGCATCTGAATAAATTAGAATGTTGTGGAAAAGTTCATTTATTTCAGTAATTCAACTCAAATTGTGAAACTTGTGTATTAAATAAATTCAATGCACACAGACTGAAGTAGTTTAAGTCTTTAGTTCTTTTAATTGTGATGATTTTGGCTCACATTTAATAAAAACCCACCAATTCACTATCTCAACAAATTAGAATATGGTGACATGCTAATCAACTCAAAACACCTGCAAAGGTTTCCTGAGCCTTCAAAATGGTCTCTCAGTTTGGTTCACTAGGCTACACAATCATGGGGAAGACTGCTGATCTGACAGTTGTCCAGAAGACAATCATTGACACCCTTCACAAGGAGGGTAAGCCACAAACATTAATTGCCAAAGAAGCTGGCTGTTCAATATATATATATATATATACATAACCTTGCATTTATTTTAAAATGGAAAAAAAGTTCAAACATGAGTAAACATGAAAGGAACTTCATACATTGGTTCAAATCTACCAAATGACCAGTTGGTTAAAAATTATTGGAAAAACTTTACTTTCTAATTTGTTTGCAGATGCCACTTGGTTTGTAGGATATTTTTATCTAATGCAATGAATTCAGGAATTTGACTTAATGGGGTTTAGTTGTCCAAAGTGTCTTTTTGGGGCCACTGAATAAAGCGTGTTGAACTAATACACTACCGTTCAAAAGTTTGGAGTCTGTTTGCATTTATTTGATCAAAATACAGTAAAAACCGTATTATTGTAAAATATTTATTATTTTAATATTAAACATTTAATATTTATTATTTAAAATAACTTTTTGATATACAGTATTTATAATATAGTAATATTAAAATTATATTTTTATAAAATAAATCACAATATATAATTTATTCCTGTAACAATAGAGCAAAATGTTCAGTAGTCACATGATCCTTTAGAAATCATTCTAATATACAGATTTGGTGCTCAAAAACCATTTTATATTATCAATGTTGAAAACAGTTGTGCTGTTTAGTATTTTTGTGGGAAAAAAAAAACCCAAAATATTTTTTTTTCAACCATTTTTAAATTATTATTTGATGAATAGAATGTTCAAAAGAACAGTAATTGTTTTGCATCTATATAGTAACATTATAAATGCCTTTAATTTAACTTTTGATCAATTTGATACATGCTTGCTAAATGTTTTTTTTTAACACCAACAACAACTACTTTTTTATATACTGGGGTCCCTGGACTGACTGAGAGTATGTATAGGGGTGCTTTTTTGCTCTGTTTATCAGAAAACCTCAATCAATTATATCAGATCTGTCAAATGATCCATATAATTACAATTTGCCGAATGAAGCATAGTACTTCATCCTTTCATTCTATGCTGTTCAGCCTTCATCTTTCTGTGTGTGTGTCAATGGATTTCGATCAAAGCGGCTTGTGTGCTGTAAATCAATGTTAAACTACGTGGATATGCCAGCACTAAAAATGACTAATGATTTGATGTGCACTGGTCCATCCTTGGGCTCTCTTCACACACTTGATAGGGCCATTACCCCATCCAGACACAGATATATGCACACTTAGGGCTTGGAGAGAGATGAAAGAGGTGAATGGCGTTGGAGAGGAGGGAAGGAGGGAAGAGTGGCTCTCAACAACGCCTCAACCACCCACTGCATGGTGGGCATTATTGAGTGAGCATGTGTGTCTGTGTGTGAATTTAATAGAAAGAGATGACAGAGAATGAAAGGGGTGGGGGTTGCAGAGAGAAAGTCATTAGCGAAGAATGTAATCCAGAGAGTAAGTAAAGAAAGGGAACATGGGGCCAGCCAAGTGTATCTCTAAAGGGTCGGATGAATCAAGGCTTTGCCTAGTGATAGTTTGTGTGAACAGGGTTTTAATCAACCCCAACCCATATCAGCTCATGCCTTAACTAGATGAAAATATATCAAAAAGCTAAGACATATGACTATTCAGTATGTTGGGAAAGTACGAGTGCTCCTGTACTTTCCTTGTGTCTTGAATAGGGTTATTTGTTCCAAAAAATGAGGTTTTAGTCACAGAATGAGTTTCCCATTATCTTTTAACAACATTTAGTGCATTAATGAGGAAAAAAAATTAACTTAAATGATTTTAGCAAATGGCTGCAATATAACAAAGAGTGAAAAATTTAAGGGGGTCTGAATACTTTCCGTACCCACTGTATATGCGATAATATTGAGTCACTCTATTATTGCCAAATAAACCCACACATAGTGATAAAGACCCTGACATAAAACTGCTGAGTGCTGCTGTATCATTCTGAAGGAGTTTATTTTGCTACATTGACTGTTTTGCTGTAGATTATTACTTAAATATTAAGTAAATAAATGGATAAAAATCATCGATCAAGTTTTTTAATATTCTAAAAGGGATCATACAGATGTAAATGAAAGGTCTCTGGATACGCATGTAACCATGGTTCCCCGAGAGGGAATGAGACGCTGCATCCTCTAGCGGACACTATGGGGACTGCCGCCAGCAGGAGTGGTGTCTGAATAACGTGTGATATGCCCGGAAGCATAAGAGGGTGCCTGCCAAACACGTCACCAACTTGGTTGTCTGAAGGAGATGTGAAACAGGCAAACCCTATGCATGGCGAGGGGAAACATCTTGTTCCATTTCGGGGAACCATGGTTATATGAGTAACCCGAGACGTTCCCCTTCTAGAGAACTCCTCTAGCGGACACCATGGGGAATTAAAATGCCCACTCAGCCATGCCAAGGCGCATGCCTGTTCACCTGGTGAGAGAGCACCAAGAAGTGACAGACATACACCAAACCTTTACTCAGAAAGAGGACAAGCCACTGATGACTGGGACCACTAGCATAACTCAGAAAAATGGTGTACCCAGCCGATAGGAGGGACATCCCACTAACCAAGCTAAGAACACAGCTATCCTATGTTACAATGAGCTAAAGCAGCATGCAGGACCCAGGGGGACTGCCCACTTAAAAACCCCATTGGGGGCAGGGGCAGCCCACCCCTACTCTCTGACCAAGCTTAAGGGAAGTAGACCATCTATTTAAAACCCTAACAGGGGAGATGGTTAGAAAGAGGCTCAAGAGCCTGGAAGGCAACAGCGGAGCAACAAGATGAAAGACTTTCACCACTCTCCCGATATCTGCAAAATTTAACCAAACATGCACCTCCGTAACCACCATTGCTTAGTGGCACACAAGCCAACTCTGTGGTGCTGCACAGTTACTACTTGGTAAACTTGTAAGTGAAGTGACATGTGGCCAAGTATGGTGAGCTTGGTAAACTTGTAAGTGAAGTGATGTGAAGTGACATGTGGCCAAGTATGGTGACCCATACTCGGAATTAGTGCTCTGCATTTACCCACACACACAGCAGTGAACACACACAAACCGTGAACACACACCCGGAGCAGTGGGCATTTATGCAGGGGAGCAGTTGGGGTTCGGTGCCTTGCTCAAGGGCACCTCAGTCGTGGTATTGAAGGTGGGAGAGAGTGCTGTACATTCACTCCCCCCACCTACAATCCCTGCCGGTACGAGACTCGAACCCACAACCTTTGGGTTATGAGTCCGACTCTCTAACCATTAGGCCACGACTTCCCGTCATAACACAACCATTGTGTGCAAGGCTCCACCAGTTTGACTTGCCGCCACATACACCCTGCCATCCAGATGCGCCCTGAAGAGGTCTGGATGGCAGAGCAGGAGTCTTTAAAGAAGATGACTCCCTCTGTGAGAGAACGCTCGCATGCTTCCTCCCCACAGGGAGCATCTTCAGCCACACCCTTAACATCAGAGTAATCCACATGCTGGAAAAGATGCATCCGAGCTGAATATGGTTTGTCCCATGATCTCACTAACTCTGTGTGGAGGTCAGGAAGAAAAGGGTGGCTCCTGGGGGAGGGGAGTTCATGACCAACCAGAAAGCGTTCATCTAATCTGCCACAGGCGGACTTCTGCTTTTTGCGTGACCAGACTAAATGAAGCCTCTTAGTAGAGCGTGCCATTACGTCCAACATTCCCCATATGCGGAACTGGAGTTAGGTTGGGAAGATTCAGTGCTCATTCTCTCATCTCCATCGCCAACCACCTTCACCAGATGAACCCAATGTAGTGCTATCCGTGGAATCAGATGACCCAAGAGAGAGAGTCCCGCCAAGCGCCTCGAGAACCAGACATGCTCGTGCAAAATGCAGACTACTGTCCCTCGGGAGAGAACAGAATGAAAGGAACTCCTGAAAGGCAAAGCACTTCCCGTCAGATTCCTTCCATGCCCAGCCTACAAATCCTGTGATCATTCTGCCTAGCTGCCTCGGCAGCTATAGGACCCGAATCACGGGTGGTAGGTGCTCAATTCTCAATCCTCAAAAGAGAATCAAGTGTACAATGCATTTCTTAGTGCGACTGCATCACGCAGCATGCATTTAGCTCCCCCGAGAGTCAAACACATTCTGTTCAAACACTAGATTCCCTCAAGAATCAGGTGAGAACAGAAACTGTCACGAATGCATCGCATTGTTCAACTCCCTCGAGAGGCGAGCGTGCTCATGCAAACGCTGTCTACAATCTTGAGTAAAAGTCAAAGCTTTACCTCTGCTCTCAGTAGCCCTGTGAATGCATCACCATGAGCACATCCCACTGTCTTGTGAGTTGAAAGCACATTCACACTTATCCACACCCTTCTCAAACCTCTCTGCAGTGAACCCCACGATCTGACTCTATGCTGTGCCTCGGCAGAACTGCGAGATACAGATGCTTGTCCCTCATCCACAAACACGAACGGAGCTTTCTCATTGGAATCCCATAACAATGAGCATATTCAGAGCCCTTGAGTGAGCGTGCTCCTCACCAAGACACATAATGCATAGATCGTGTATGTCCTCGGGTGTCAGAAAGCTAGGACACAGAGGCACACACTTTCTAAAATGCTCACTTACCTTGGTTTTCTCCATAACGCCTTCACACGCACTGTCAAACAAACAGCTCCTGAAGACAAAAAAAGTTGGTGACGTGTTTGGCAGGCGCCCACTTATGCTTCCGGGAGCCCGCCTGTGACTTCACGGGCTACATGGGCTAATGGGATTGGAGTTGTTTCACACGTGCTTCAGACACCGGTCCTGTTGGCAGCAGTCCCATTGTGTACGCTGGAGAACACAGCACGAGTTCCCAAGAAGGGGAAATACTGTATATTTTATAAATATTTTAAATGTATTATTTATAATAAATATTATAATTAATTAAATTGTATATTAGATATTTATTTTACATAAATTAATCTCATGATTTCTGACCTGTATTAATAAAGCATTTTGAAATGGTATAATGTCAAAACATAGTAATTTTTGTTGTTGTTTTGTTTTACTGTACCATTCAAAAGTGTTACTTCACTTAAACCAACGTTTAAGTGAAGTGAGGGGCCAAGTATGGTGACCCATACTCAGAATTTGTGCTTTGTGGGCAGCCATATTGGCTTATAGCCGGGGAGCAGTTGGGGGTTCGGTGCCTTGCTCAAGGGTCTCACCTCAGTCATGGTATTGAGGGTGGAAGAGATCGCTGGTTATTCACTCCCCCCACCAACAATTCTTGCCGGACCTGAGATTCGAACCCACAACCTTTGGGTTATAACTTATGACTCTCTAACCATTAGGCCATGACAGTTATACACGGAAGCAGCTCCGGGCGGATGAGTCTCGTGAAAACCAACGTTTGTTAACAGGAGCAAAGGAAGCAAAGTTTCCATACTTTAGCAAAGGAAAACCAGTCTCCTCTTGGCTTATATCGAAACACTAACCATGCCAATGACAATGAACAGTTTAATTATAAGAAAATTTACAGAAATGCAGTACAATGCAGGGACTAGCAATATGAGTGCCAACAGTAAAGCTCACATTTACCTCCAGGATACTGTTAGCAACCAGCAGCTCAGCATCCTGGCAACCTTCAGCAATTAAATTTCTATGTGCAAAATTCTGTTTCTTGATGTGGAGCATTGTGCTTAGTCTTGTTTGACCTTGAAGTTGATGAGCAAAGCTTTAAAATGTATATTGAGTAGAGTGAGTAGATAATGTTTGAACAGATTCTTGGCTGGATTTGTCTGTTTTCATACAAGCTAACAAGGCTAAACTTCAAATCAAGACTCACACAGATCTCACTGAAGATTAATTTACTGTGGATATTGATTTGAACTACTCAAAGGTGAAGATTTAGAAGTTGCCAGCAGTTCTGTCATGAAATATTAAAAAGCCAGTTTGAGCTATTAATTAAGATTGTTATTAGGCCTGACATCCTGCACAAATAATAATCGAAGCGTAATCAGTCTTGATTTTTGACCCGGTAACTTTTCTGTACAACTGTACCACCTGAAAGTTTGGTTTTAGTTGCCTCAATATAGCTGTTGCATGACTCAGCCATTATGATCTCCAGTCTGTCTCTGGCTGCGTCCCATATAACACATCTAATTTGCGCTCCTTCCAAATATGAAACAGGAAAATAAATTGGTTTACGAGATGGAGGTCATCCAGGTCTCTGGAGTTTACCGCTCATGCTCCTTGTAAACTACCCCACTACAAATGAATTTCTACAGTAAGCAGTACAGATATTACATGGATGATTTCATTCATTAGTCTCAAATTGGCTTACCAAGAACTCCCTTCTTTACGCTCCCAGAGCTGATGTGAGGTGGTATTAAAAACATGGTACATCTGTCTGCCCAATTTAATACTTCCTTCAGTGCTTTCAAATGGGAAATCCAAAGAGTTTAGGCTCGGCGGAGCTCGCCGCATGATTACAGACCTGCTGGCGGAGCAGGAGGAGATGCTGCAAAACATGTTATGTTTGATTTCTGCCGCTGTCCTGCCCCATTGTGCTACACGTTTAATTTGGACAAGGCATCGTGTGGCTAATAGAAAGGGGAAATTTAAACGCCAAGTCTCTACAGGAACAGGGACTGTGGAGGGTAAATTGTTATTTCAGCACTGAGGGAAGAGAGAGATTTTCGAGCGGAGAATCAGATCTGCTTAAAAGGAAGAGGAAAAAAGAAAATAATGAAAAAAGAAATTGAGAGAGAATGAAACGGTGAGAGAAAGTTAAGCTTATCTGTCCGCAGCAGCAGGCTTGAGCACACAGCGTAACGGCACGTCATTGTTTGCTCCGGAGACCTGCCGGGGTTTAAGTGATATCAGCTGTCTCAGGGTCAGAGCTTCAATGCTTTTTTTGTGGCGATTTTCCAAATCCCTAAAAGAGCCGGTATGGCCAGATAGAAGCACTGCTAAGAAAGGACCAGTGAACAGATACAGTGGCAAGAGAATGTCTTTTCTTGTGGTCTCAGAGTTATTGTGGTGTCAACCGATTGTGTGTCAACATTATCTGTGATTGTGTGGACAGAAGTGCACTGTGGGTGAGTCTCTAGAAGAAATTAGTGAGTGAACATCAAAGATCACACAACAGAAGTGCGCGTGCTCTCTTTCTCTCTGTCTCTCTCTCTCTCTCTCTCTCTCCCTACCGTTAAGTAACTTGTGCATTGTTTTACTTACTTGTTTTTGACATATCCGACCGAACTACAAACTTTCCAGTGATGTCTGTGAGAAAGATATATTCACTCGACGAGCTCACGCATCTGCGCCGCCGCGGGCTCAATCCACTCAGCATGCTTTGTTTATCAGCTCGCGCACATCAGCTATACAGTCGTTAATACTGAATGTTTAACATTATATTAATTGCATACATATACTTTGTAGTAGACATCCTTAACTCCTTTCTGCTGTCTGTTGTTCTGTTGTCTGTGTTTCTTTGTTTGAATATGGCACTTATCACATGCTGTGTGGTATCGGCGTTTGGTATCGGGGCATTTTAATGAGTATGAGTACAGGAGACCAGTATCGGGCCCGATACCAGTATCGGTATCGGTGCATCCCTAGAAAAAAGTTATTAAAATTTGAATGTATATTACGAATTAATTATTTCTAATTTGAAAGAAATCGATTGCTTACAGTTAGTATGGCTTGGTAAAAAGACATATTGTCACAATTATTCTTTGTCTATAGTGCATTTTATTGTAACAATTTCTTCTCAGGTGGGGTGGGCCGCTTGAGAATGAGAGCGAGGCTATCTGTGCACACAGTCATTACCACATTCAAAACACTGTACTTGAGCACTCTGCTTTCTTGCACAATGTGATTCCAGCTCTGCGATGAGGCAATTACACAAGCAGACAGTTATTCTTCCTCTCGCAGCACGAATAGATTCAGTTCTAAAAGCACAACGTGTCCTGTATATTACTGCTCCGGGGTTGGGGGGCCCGGCCTGCTGGGTGAAATTTATAGCAATGATAGCTTGTTGAGATGCAGGTGGAAAAAATAAAGTAATTTGTGTGTTTTCGCAGCCACTGATTCTGCCTTCTGTGTCTTGTTTCTTTCAGGAGAGATCTGTGCATTTAAGATTCATGGGCAGGAGGCCCCATTTGAGGCTGAGGTGTTGAACAGGACATCTGGTGAAGGGGTGCTGAGGGCCCGGGGTCCCATAGACTGCGAGCAGCAGAAGGAGTACACCTTCATCATCCAGGCCTACGACTGTGGAGCCAGCCCAAGTGGAGCCAACTGGAAAAAGAGCCACAAGTAAGTAGATAGACTTTGGTTGATCCTGTGTGGTGTAGTTTAGTGCAGCTGCTTCAAACTGAAGTCCACTGATGGTCTGTGAAGGATCTGCAAGTTGATTGACTGTTTTTTTTGTAAAAAAAAAAAAGAAAAAAGGCCTAAATAAAATATTTGACAAATTAACTCATGACAATTATTTTAACTGATTAAACAAATTTATGAAACGTTTTTTTTTATTTCACTAACATGACTCGCAGTTGTGAAATTAGTTAATACTGATTATTTTGATGAATAAATTAATAAAAGAAGCAGTCCAGTTAAATTAATTAAAAAAAATTCAGAGCAAAATAGCAGTCAAGCTAAATTACGGATTGGTGACTCAAGACTCTTAAAAAGATATCAAGTCAATGACATTCGGGGTGTTATGTGGTCCACAATTTTTTGTTTTACTCTTGAAGTGGTAGGTCACCTGGAAAATGTTGGTCTAGTGGTTCAAGTAGCCTACTGTTGGTAATTTTGGATACATTTACAAGACTCTTAGTAGAAGTTACAATTTACAAGCAAGAGGAGCAATAGTCTCTGTGATGTGGACTGTGTAAGTTAAGGGACTGGTGTTCTGCTGTGCAAATGATCCATTTGTTTAATTCATCATCTCATTATTGAATTTAAAAGCAGAATGAAGCTTTGCCACATTTGTGGAAGCTTTTGAGGCAGAAGAGTCATGAGGAAACCAACTGCTGTGCTGACAGCTTACCAGCCTAAACCATTATGTTTAATTTGGAGTAATTTTGTGGTTGTTATTTTTAATGTATTTTATTTATTTTTTATTAATGTGATATTCCAAAGTACTTTAAAGAATCCCTCACTCAGAAACATGCATCTTGTTTCTATGAGACACATGACAAATAAAAGCAATATTTGTTTTAAAATCGGCATAAAACATAAAATGGAATCATAGTGTGTACCTATCATACATTACACGATTTTCTGCTAAATCTGTCCCGATTGTTCAAAATCTGCGACTGGCTCTGACTTTCAGCAGCTAGAGTTGACTCGTCCAGATTACAATTCGTCAATAGAATGTGGTGTATTCTAACCTTTAGTTTTTACTGTATATTATGAATCATCTTTATATATTATGAAAAAAATCTATAATTTTGCCTGACTGCTGTTTTCTTCCATATTTCATTGGAAATAATAAGGTGTAATAAGGTAATGAAGTGATTATTTGCTAGCTGAAGTGTTGGTCTGAACACTCACTTACTCTGACTGATTGAAGTGAGACAACAGAAACACTAGCACAAAGCACAATCAGTTAATTCATTTTTATGAGCTGATTAATCAGTTGATTAATTCATTGTTGGTGCTCTTTGTTAATTATAATTATTTTGTTTATGTAGATTTATTTTATTATTATAATTATAATTATTTAAATCAGCCAGTAAAGCACTAAAACAGTTGAAATTTTAACTATAAAGATAACTATAATGACACCTATATAGCGTCCACACCAACGGACGATAATGTTCTGTTTATTATGAGTGCAAGCTGCAGTTATGTCACCTGCCAATGTAAATGCTCCAGCTCTTTAAAGTCGGGTGGATTCTGATTGGCTGTCAGTGTTTTTAGCATTCATCAGTTGGAGAAAATAGTTCCAATAATGGCATTACCATTATAGGTGTGGTGTGGACTTTGCTATTCTCATACAATTAGAATGATTACTAAAACTTTATAGTTATCATCCTTGGTGTGAACTGTGGTGAAGTTTATACTTGTCACTTCAAATCTCAAATCAGAGTGAAGCATTCTTTTGCTCTCTCTCTTTCCCTGGTTCTTTTTTCTCTCCTGGATATGAGTTGGCTACAGACACACATACACACTCATGTGCTTGCACACATTTCTACACAACCAGCCCTGGCTGGCCCTGCATTGATGACCCATCAAGATGTTTACAAAGTTGCCGGAAGCTCTGTACGTGCCCGACAATCTCTCTTACAATAGCAGCTCGCTGCAGCTGAAACACAGCTCTGATGAAGTGCAGGCGAGAGCCGCGCTTCAGGCACCCACTGCTGTGAGAGAGAGAGATGAAGAAGTGCTTTTGATTTCACAGCTTGGGTCGTTCTGATGAATGTCTCTTGACACTGTGATACTAAAGGGGTGTATTCGAACGCGTGCATGCAAGAGAGATCGCCGAGTACAGGATCTCAGTGGGATAATCTAAATGTAGGTCCCATTAACTTAATGTCTTCATTTAGGAAGATGTACAACAGCACGTGAATTTATGTTTCTGTCAAAGAAGGTCACAGTTGGTTTGACTGAACGGCAGACTTCTTTAAGATTTTATGTGAGCTCTGTGTACCACAATGCAACTTTCTCAGCTCTTTTTGAGGCTAGTTACCATGCAAATGATTTGGGGTTGGAAAGGAGGGACATGTCCATTTTATTTAGTTTTCTACATTTATTTTCAGTATGCCGATCCGTATTGTTTCGACACCTAGTGGCAAAAGCAAATGTTCACAGTTGTTCAAGAGGAGGAGAACCGCTCCATGTACAATAAATAGATTTAAATAGGCAATGAACATGACTGCAATCTTTATTTCATGTGTGATGTGATCAATTTCTTAAATAAAATGATTTAAATAAAATTGACGTTTAAAAAAAAAGATTACAACATGGGTTATGTTAGTGTATATGTACAGTATAATTGTATATGTGTAGTTTGGCTAATTAAAAAAATTCTCAAGTTAAATCTTAACCTGCACCCTCAGCCTACATTCTCAGATATTCATTCGTTTTTCATTGTGAATGGTCAGATTCATTCTGAATGAAATGCGTTACTTAGCAATGATTGTATTTGCAGACATATTGCAGGCAAAGCTTCATCTGTGTTTGTGTCGGTTTGCCGAATGCAGCTTGATAAACAGCTTAATGTTTGATGAGTAATTTCATTGTGATGAAACATCAGGTAGGTAAATCAAGCCATCTATTCTGCCTGCTGCACCACAGAGTAGTCTTGTTATCAAGTAAACATATTAAAAATCCTTTACCAGGAAATTTTTGCAGCCATTTTTGCAATTTATTGGTGGGTTTTTATGGATGTTTTGATTCGTTTTCCACTTTTTTTCTCTTTGGTAATTTCCCCAGACATGGTGCAGACTGTTTTTTTCTTTCATGTGACACACTAAAATTTTTTCCCTCAACGTAAATATTTACAGTCAGTCCACCCTTGTGTGGTTTCAGTACAGTGCTCAGAGATGAACTACTTTCTGTCTTTGTTAATTTCTCTAACGTGTAAAGCTATTTGCAATTCAGTCGCACAGTTCAGAGGTGTAATATCTGTCTCTGAGGTCTATTAGCACCTCTGTTCTATAAAATTAACAACTCTTCTGTTCCTCACCCTGATTGGTTGTTCTCTGTCTGTCCCTCTGGTTTTGTTGCAGGGCGGTGGTTCATATCCAGGTGGATGATGTAAATGAGTTCTCCCCAGTGTTCAGGGAGCCTTTATACCGTGCCACTGTTACTGAGGGCAAGATCTATGACAGCATTCTGCAAGTTGAGGCCTGGGATCAGGACTGCTCTCCGCAGTACAGCCAAATCTGCAACTATGAGATCGTTACACAGGATACACCTTTTGCTATTGATCGAAATGGTAAGTCTTAGATTCAGACATGTGTGAAAGTACACAGAAATTGTATGTACCATAAAGTGTGCATTCTGTGTCAAAATTAGTAGAAGTTGAATTTTTTTATTTTATTTCCTCAGACACAATTATCTTGACTAAAGTCTGTACAGCGTACTAGATTCAGGTAAACAGAAATGTACACTTCTGGTGTCAAAAAGTATTGTTTTTGATCAAGTAAATACAGCCTTGATGAGCGTAAATGACTTTTAAAAAACAAAAAAATAATTTTTTTTGCATTGAATAGAGTTAATGTTGATCTAGTTCGCCGATCATTAACAATGGTTATAATTAAATATATTTATATATAAATTATATTTAAGGAAAACTACTTCCGGTCTTAAGGTATATCTTTTATTTTAGGCCTTCAAAGTAAAGAGTAAGACATAAAATTAGGTTTGTTTGATTTTGCTCCTTTAACATGTTTTTTTTTTGAGTAAGAGTACATGTATATATGTTCAATATTACTTGTTGCAAAATCCCCAAAATATTACTTGAGCAGCAATTCTTGATGTACTTTCCACCCCAGTTCTGTTGTTGCTGGGCTGTCTTACTTTCTACCTGTCTTTCTCACTGTTATTTTCATTGCATGAATAGTGTGAAATTGATAAAGAAAAACAAATAATTTTCTCACTTTTGTACTTCACCTGTGAATTCTCTCTTGGATGAAGATGATTCAATTTGAGTTGTTTTAGCTTCTGTTTTCTGTATTCATCATTCACGAGTGCAGAATTGATGTGTTATTTGGTTATCGTTGAATGCGTGAGTGAATTAAACGGCTCATTGGTCAGCTGGATGGTCAGAGCTCCAATCTTTGACATTTCCGGACACGTCAGAGATGACTCTGAGGTGCTGGAGCGACCGGAGCTCACGGATCACATCGCTACGCTGCCGCAGATCAGACACCCGTCTCTCCGCTGTGGTTGTCTGCCTCCCTCTCATGTTCTCTGGTGGGATGTCAGCTGTCTCAAAGAGCTGCGGTCTCTTTTAGGGGCTCACGTCGAACTCAGAGCTCCTGTCTCATTGACTTCCTCTTGCTGCTTTGGGCCCTGCCAGCATCTGCAATGCGACTGGCATTGACATTGCTTGGTTAGTGCCAGGAGTGATGCATGGGCCACCCGAGTGGATTTTGTTCTGAGGGCTTTTGGCTCCATCATTTACTGTGGATCAGAGGGCAGAGTGAGTTATTAAATACAACAGGCCCACTGGCACTGTGTTCTCCGGTCCAGAGAGAGGAGGAGGGGACGATAGAGAATGAGATCAGGAGAGAGATAGGAAAACTACAGTGAGAATGCTAAATAGTTTGAATACAGAAACATGCACTAATGACGTTAGGTAGGAGGGAGGATGGTTGGTTTGTGTTGTTGGCGGTACCACATGATTCATTTTGAAACCTGAGGTAATTTACTAAAGATCTTCTACGAGATTTCAAAACCCTTGTTTTTGCACACCCAAGAATGTTGTTTCAAGCATAGAGACAGTGCGAATGAAACGAGACACAAAGAGACAATATTTGACACATCCATTCTTTTTGAATGGAATTTGTTGAGAGAAAAGGAGAGTGTATGAATAGGAAGTGTACGAATAGGAGTGTGCGAATAGGAAGATAGACAGAAATAATAAAAACAGAAAAAGAGAGGGAATTTGAAAAATAAGAGATTAAATTGAATAAGATTGAATTTACACCATCAGCAGCATTAAAATGCTGGAGGCCATTAAACGTGTGTTCTTTGTTCTTTATGCTTTTATTCTGAAAGAACAGAAATTCAAACACACGCTGAGGCGCATGCTTAAAGTTTCCGTCAGAAGTGTCATGCCTATTCAAACTGAGGCACGCGCCCCCTCAAATTTATGGTATTATGATATTATGATAATTATGGTGCGTCATTTATTTTAGATAAAGAAAAGTGTGACAGAATTCACTAAGTCTAAATCATTCCCATCTAATTGTACATTTCACATATTATTTGATTTTAACAGAAAATTCTATTAGCAATCCACATGACTTTTTTACTGTGGAACACAAAAGAAGACATTTCAAAGCATGTTTAAACCATTTTTGCCTATACAATAAAAGTTTATGGGGTTCAAAACAACATTGGACCCCATTAACTTTCATTGTATGGATAAAAACATTGAGGGTTATTTAAAAATATAATTTTTGTTCCACAAAAGAGAGCCATAAAAGTTTATGATTACATAAGAGTGAGTAAATGACAGTTTTCAGTATTCATTTTTATATAAAATATCATTCATATATTAAAAGAAGGTATTTGAACCTAGAAATTATACAGTTTAATACTTGTAATTTAGAGGAAGGGTTAGCACTGCTTTTTACCCGGGGTTATGAAACCCTGCTCTGGAGAACCACTTTTGCACTGTCAACCCTGAATTGTGCTGCCAGACTTATACAGTGAGAAATTATACGGTGTTTGAATATTGTTGCTTGATGCTTGGCAACAGACAACCAATCGTGTGCCTCATATTCACTTGCCTTTGGACATTCACAGCAACACGGCACATTGTATAAACAGTTGTTTCATCATTTAAGAGCAAACATGTTAAATAGTTACAGAAAACATGACAACTGGAATGAAGAAGAGACTATTTTATTCTTATGTTTATAGTCCGAAATGTCCTTTCAGGAAAAATTTGTAAGCAATGTATACAAGGCTGCAATGCTAGAGGCGTTATGTAAACGGGTCACATGCTGCAATTGTCCAATCAACTGACACCACAAATATGCAAATAAAAACATTAACCCGGGGTTTAGGCATGTACAGCATGAAACATCAGCTTATGAATGGCCAGGATTAATTTTTAACCCCGGGTAAATTATGAGCAACGCGAAACATGGAACATTCTGTTTACCCAGGGTTTAGAATGACCCGGGGGTAACTATTTCAAGTGTGAAAAGCTCTCAAGTGACCCAGGACAGCCCTTTGTGACCCCTAAAAAAAAAAAAAATTCCATGATGCCCCAGTTTGAACTGCATATGTAAAAACGTAGGCAAGTTAAGGGTCTCACACACTTGCATTCACCGTCTCGCCCTCTTTGTCTCATATTCTGTTGTCATACTCTTGTTTTTATCTGTGCTGCACAGACAGAGGCCCATTGATAACTCCCTGGAGGAGAACTGTTCCTTTTAAAACTCCCCTGCTCTTAATCATGCCGCCTGACATTAGCTGCTGTAATCAGCTCTAACAACTGTCACACACACACACACGCACGCACGCACGCACACACACCCCTCCTCCTTCGTTTGTTGAAGTATGGCTTTGAGGGTTTTTCAAGCCACACTTTAGCTTTGTGGTTCTGAGGATTGATGCAGACTTGGTCTGGGAGCCCAGAGCGACTGACCTCTATTCCTCATTGCTGTCTCCTTGACAGCACGGCTGGTCTCATTGAAATGCAGCCAGCAGGTAAAAATAACCACAGGCCCACAGACGTGTGAGAGCATCAAATCACTAGCTGCTAGTTCAGCCTCATATGAACTCTGTCACCATGGAGTGCATTTGGACTCATCGCCATACACCAAACATCAACCTCAAAGCCACCTATAGCAACTGTGGGCACTAAATGCTAAATTACACACATCAGCCCTGTGACAGAAAAAGCACTCATTACTCAAATGACAGGTACCTGGTAGAGGATTCATGTCATTATGGTTCTTTAACCTGGAGCTCTGCAAGTGTACAGTCTGTGGGTTACTGACTTTTTTTCAACCAACAGTGCCAGTCTGGCACTTCTTGAGCTGCTGACCAGGAAGCAGGGGCGTAGCCATCATTTCAAAAGTGGGGGGGACGGAATGTCTAGTGTTATACCTGTTTTTTCCCTTGTCTAATTGACAGGTTTTATTTTTAATCGTACCTTTTTTGCTTTATATGCTTTATGCTTATATTATTATATATGATTATAAAACAGAAGAAAGAGAGAAAGAAACAAAGAGAAAGAAAAAGAGAAAGAAAGAGAAAGAGAGAAATACAACAGCATGTCACTGAGACAGCACCCTTAAAAGGACATCTTTGTACATTATTTATTGGATACAGCGCGAGACCGCGGATGCGAGCTAGGGCGTGTCATGACGTGACAGAGTGACTGATTGCCATGGAAACGTGAACGTCATGTATAGACTATCTTCTCTTTTAATTTTAAATCATTCTGCATTTATATACATCGCTCCATTAAAACCTCAACATGTCGTAAACACAACTCTCCAATAAAAAAGTGCGGGGGACGAATTTACTTTTTATAAAAAGTGGGGGGGACATGTCCCCCGCGTCCCCCGCGTAATCTACGCCCCTGCCAGGAAGAATACTCCTCTCTAAAAAAGCTTCTAGAGCATGGTCTGGCTTTTCAGAATGTACCTTTAACTCTTGGCTGATGAAGAATGACTCATACAACAATGTCAGATCTGTACATCGTGTCTGTGCAGAGGTTCATGTTGGTAGTAATTGATTGTGTTATATATGTCTTTATTGAAGGAAAGTGCATCCTACTTAGTGGAAGCAGAACCAGCTTCCAAGTATATATAACATGTTTGTTCGTTACTGTACATCAACGCAATAGTTTGTGGGTGTCTCGCTTGCTCAGCGCGTGATCTAAAACATAGTGTTTTAATCAAAAGCTGATCAAGAGTTGATCGAGAGCTTTTCTTACCAGTTAGCACTATGCCAAACTGTTAGCTTCATGTGTCATTTGACTACTTTTATCTTCAGTAATATCATGTGAACACTATTGTGTGACTGTTTAAAAGTTTTGGCTCTGTAAGACTTTTTTTAATATATATATTTCAAATAAGTGCTGTTCTTGTGAACTTTTCTGTTCATCAAGAAACCCGAAAAAAGTGTCATGGTTTTCACAAAAATATTAAGCAGCAACTCTTTTCAACATTGATGATATAATAATAAATGTTTATTATGCACCAATTCAGCTAATTAGAATGAAGGATCATGTGACACTTCAGACTGGAGAAATGGCGGCTGAAAATTCAGCTTTGCCGTAAATGGGAATAAATTACATTTAATATATTTTGAATTACAATAATATTTTACAATATTACTATTTTATTGTATTTTTTTTATCAAATAAATGCAGCCTTGGTAAGCATAAGATACTTAAAACATCAGAAAATAATACCAACCCTAATCTTTAGAATAGTAGTGTAGAGCAGTATTCATTGATTTTTAATCAGTACCCATAAAAGTTGGAATGCTTTGTAGAAAAGGTGGATACAATTTTCAGTGACACCAGAAATACAAATACCATTTGCTTTCTCCATAAAAGAACAGAAGAACATTCAAAGTACAAATTCAACATTTGTAGTTTTATTAGCCATATATCCCACTTACATTATTTTATTAGCCATGAATGCAGATAATAAACCATTATAAAGCCTTGTGAAATGCTAAATATAGAGATTAGATGTAATTGTATCTATCTAATTAGCAGCACTAGAAACAGTCTTGCAGATATAATCCGTAATTGCTGAAACAGGGACACTTAGACTGTTGATATTACTTTTGTGATTGAAAACATTTGGCCAGAGCCATTGTAAGGGAGCTTAATTATTGTTTAAAAGCATATGTTGGTGTAGTATCTCAGTCTGGCAGCTGTAACAATTACAAATTGTTCTCTTAAGTTTTACTTTCCACATTCCACTTAGTGTGTCTTTAATTTTATTTGCAAATTGTCTCACATATAATGGGTTTGTTTTTCTCTCTTACATTTATTCTTCTCTCCAGGCAACATCAGGAACACAGAGCGACTGAGCTATGACAAACAGCAGCACTACAAAATCATGGTGACCGCTTACGATTGTGGCCAGAAAAGGGCGACAGAAAGTGTCTCGGTTCACATTGACGTCAAACCAGTGTGCAAGCCTGGCTGGCAAGGTCAGTGGATACCTCACACTGTTGCCTTAACTTTTACTGTTGCTCCATTCCTGGCTTCCTTCATTCAAATTAGCTGCTTATTCTGATCAAATCTTTTGCAAGCAGCGTACTGTATGTATTGCTACTATTTTGTCATTGTAATGTAGATGTTTATTGCAATTCCTTGCAAATTCAGTGTGTGTATAAAAAAAAGAGAGATATTTGAAAGGATCATGCGGCAGTGCTAACAGACAGCTTTCTCCAGAAATGATTGACTTTTTTAGTTCTTTCAAGACCACATCAGCTAATTCCATTTTCATTTTTAAATGTGTTATTTGTGTTGGGGAGGTCCTAGAAAATAGTAATTTTCTAGAAGGGGTGCCACTGAAATGTTCACAGGAAGAAAGAGCAAAATAGATAGTCATTTTAATTTATATATATCTTGATATTCAAAGAAAAACATTCTCTATTTTCTTAACTTTCTCTAATCTCTAACAGTCCCTGTCGATTCTCAGGTCAGCTTTTTTTTACTTAAAGCAATCGTTCACCCAAATTCTGTCATCATTTACTCAATAAAGTCATTCTAAATCTGTATGACTTCTTTCTTCTGCAGAACACAAAAGCAGATATTTTGAAGAATGTGCCATCTGCTTTTGGCCAGACAATAATAGTTAAGAAGGGTTAAAACAATTGTATGAAAACATATAAAAATAATGAAGCATTTTTCAAAATGTCTTCTTGATGACAATGGCGACACAATTGTAATTCTGAATCTGAATCTGAAGAGTTGACCTGATTCACTCAAAAGATCTGATTCAAAAGAATGCTATGTTAATAAATCGGACATCACTACTTCTCATGAACATTCCAAAAAGAATTTGGGTGGATGTCAGGATTTTTGGTGACTTAAATTGCAAACTCAAGTTTCTGTCTCTGTCTTACATTCACCCACAACCTCCATCCACAAAATGGCCAGTATTGTGACTCCGTGGAGTAGTCTGTCCTCAGTGACCTCTGATCCCTTGTTCTGTTCTCCTCTCATCTGTGGCATACACTGTTAGTGGTCTTCACTAGACAGATCGATATCCGTGGACTCCCTCTTCTCACAGGGACTGCACAGCAGCTTCAGCCTACAGCTCGTCCACACACACTCACACTGACCTCTCTGAAAGAGCCCGGTATTCCTTTAATATCTTATGCCTACATGACAGGGTCAACGATACATTTTACATATGCTGTGGCAATGGATTTGTTTTAAACAGTCAGTAGGCAGAGCTTTCAACATCATTAAATCAGAGAAAAAGACAAGGCAGCTTTTTTCACAGTTTACCTTCTTTCACACATCGATTGAGGCGTGGAAAATATGTGCAGATGAATTCAATTCACAGGCTTCAGTAGAGCCATTAAAAAGCGGATGTCAGGGACTGGAGAGACAGACGCCTAATCACTGTCATCTAAAATTGTGTTTAGAGCATGAAAAGAGCGGAAAAAAGCTATCATTCTCTCTTCAGCCAGGAAGAGTTAGACATACCCAAGTCCTTCTGAGAGGAAACAATGTAGCTAATTCAATCGTAACAAAAGTCAAATTTGTAAAACATTCAGCAGCTGTTTGTGTATGGTGTGCACAATTTAAATACATCTCAAGACTTTGCATTATAGGGATATTTTTACAAAATTTTAAATGTATCCTCATATTGTTCCAAACCTGTATGACCTTCTTCAGTGGAACACGAAAAAAGAAATTGTAAAGAATTTGAACTCTGCTTTTGTAACCAGGGGTTGTCAAATTCCCAAAAGCAAAATTGAATTAATTTAAATATATATTTATTCTTTTATACATTTAATGCAATGTATCCATTATAATTTATTCTTTATTAATAATTGTATGGATGAGTAGCATGACAAATTTTTCCACACTTCTCTGTTTGTGTTCCATTGAATAAAATTAAAGGAATTGTTCACCCAAAAATTCACATTTACTGAAAATGTACTCGCCCTCAGGCCATGAGACCACAAGATGTAGATGAGTTTGTTTCTTCATTCAGAAACAAGTTTTGGGGAAATTTAGCATTACATCTCTTGCTCACTAGTGAATTCTCTGCAGTGAATGGGTGCCGTCAGAATTGGAGTTCAAAGATCACAGTAATCCATAAGCAATCCACACAACTCCAGTCCATCAATCAATGTATTGTGAAGTGAAAAGCTTCATGTTTGTAAGAAACAAATCCGTCATTAAGACATTTTAGCTTTAAACCGTTGCTTCTGGCGCTATAATCCATAATAATGCTTCCATAATAACGATCCCATGTTGTCCTCTCACATTAAAATCCACAGACATATTTTTTCAGAACTGTTTTGGACTGTTTTCACTTGTAAACGGTACATGATTTGTGAATTTTTCTGTCCTGATTCAGACGAGATTACTAGAGATTACTAGAAATATTATTATGGATAGAGGACTTGATGGATTTGTTGATTACAAACATGCAGCTTTTTCCTTCACAAGATGTTAATTGATGGACTGGAGTTGGTTGGATTACTTTTGTATTATTGTGATGTTTTTATCAGCTGTTTGGACTCTCATTTTGACGGCACCCATTCACTGCAAAGGATCCACTGGTGAGCAAGTGATGTAATGCTAAATTTTTCCACATCTCTTCTGATGAAAAAAGAAGCTCGTCTACATCTCGGATGGCCTGAGGGTGAGTCGTTTTTCAGAAAATTTTCGTTTTGGGGTGAACGATTTTATTCAATAGTGGTTTGAGGGTGAGTAAATGATCTCCGAAATTATTTTTTTAGTGAACTCTCCCTTTAAGAGACAGATTGTCTCCATTACAAAATTCTCAGTTTTTAATTGGAGGCAATTTTGCCAATTTAACTTTAATCCCAGGTGTTGCCACACATCTTGTCGCTGTATTTTGTCTTCCTTCCTGCACACTTGTCAAAGTGACAGCACAGAGAGTGTGAACCTGTTCTGAGAACAGTATCCCGATTGAACCAATTAGAGGGACTCTATTTCACCTGTTTCTTAAGACAATTTGGTGTGAGGTGACATGGATTTAGATGAGTTATTACCTGTTGAGAGGTACACAGCTCTATGCCAAAAAGAGACTTATTCTATGAAAGGGCAGCTTCCAGTCTAAGCAAGCTAAAATGTCAGACTTGAGCGCATTAGCCACAAATCTTGTAAATCCTCAGCTCTTTTGCAATACAGTTTTCATGTAGGGGTTTTGGCAGTGATACAGTTCACCGATGCATGTCTGTTTGATTCAGGGTAATTTGGTTTCCTCATGCACAATGTATCAAAGTTTGTGTTCACAAGAACTTTTAAATCACTCCTGTTCTGTCTCTCTTTCTTACTTCTTTTCAGAGTCAGCAAAGATTTATTGACACGATTATTTGCATTTAGAATATTGACAAAGCTTGTCTAAACTAAATGATTTTAGCAAATGGCTGCAATATAACAAAGAGTGAAAAATTTAAGGGGGTCTGAATACTTTCCGTACCCACTGTATATATATATATATATGCCAATTCTTTTTCTCTCTCCTCAAGCACTCCTAGTTTGTCCCAGGGTTACTGCTGTTTCTGAGGCGCAGTTATCACCTAAAGCATGATAGGGCCTTAAGATGTGTTGACAGTTGCTGGCAGGCTCCCACGCCCAGAGAATAAGCAGTCATTGGCTGAGAGATTGCATGGCCTGTGTTGTCAGTGTGATTCATAAGAAGTGAGATGGACGTGAGGACTGAGTGACGATCATGACAGGCACCACAGAGGTGAAGGCAGAGGACGCTTCCCGCTTGCATAAGCGTGTAATTGGGCAGCCTCTCTTTGTCTCTGGTCAAATCCTATCTGTCAACACTGATCTCTCCATCTCTCTGTCCAGCGGCCCATCTTGCTGAGCCATCCAAGATCTGCTCAGTTTATCTGGGGCAGAATGGCTAACTTAGGTATTAATGAGGAACTTTTTTTAAGACCTTTCCCTCAAAAAGAGGTAGAGATGGAGGCCTGTGGTACTGTACTGTCGCCCCATTTTATCCACAGTAGTGCCAATGAATAATGTAATAAGATATTCAGTTAGGGAAACGGGCTGAGGGAGTATCTTTCAGCTGAGGTGAATACAAAGAACTCGGTTCTCTGAATTATACAGAAAGAGTCCATAAAGGCCAGCAAGGAAGAGTGAGATGTTTTATCTTTAGGGTTATTCTTACTCTAAGCTTCATGTTTTATAAAGCACACAAGTAATGTATAATGTAACATGCATGAACACATACTAAAGCACATAGTGATGTGCCAGCCTTGACCAATAGGATAACATGTGTCTTTTTTCCTTTGACCTTGCTGTTTGCTTTTAACCATAGCGTTCAGCATGATTGGTGAAGATACCTCTTCACGTTTGTACTAAAAGATAAAAAGGATACAGCTCAGATGTAAATCTGCTATGTGGCGACAACAGATGCTGTAGCGACAGCAGAACTCTGATATGAAGGCAAATAGACTGTGTGTCAAAGCGATGATGGAAAGAAGTTGTGTAATTAATAATAAAGGTGGGAACAGAAGTATTATAACGGAGAACAAGTTCAATAAATACAGAGTATTTTAAATATTTTTTTGTGATAATAATAACAATAGTAATTAGTATTATCATTATTATTATTAAGCAATAAACAATTAACCAAATAATATAGTTACAAATACATAAATAAACCATATTATGTGATTAATTAGCCTAATTGTGAGCTGTTTGAATCAAGGAGGTCTGTAGTACCTGAGAAAGCCCTTTTGTTAGCATTTGTATACTATATTTATATTTAAATTTATTTATATATATTTTTGTATATGTACATGTATATTTATAGATTACAGATTTTAGATCTGTAACTCTATGACTCCGGTTTCTAACGTGTGTTTTTCTCCCAGGTTGGAACAAGCGTGTGGATTATGAACCTGGAACAGGCAGCAAGCAGCTATTTTCCAAGATGCACCTGGAGACCTGTGATGGCCCTTTATCTTCAGTGCGAGCCATGGTGGAACTACAGACCAGCCATATTGGGAAGGGCTGTGACAGAGAGACCTATTCTGAGAAGTCTCTGCAAAAGCTCTGCGGTAAAGACAACTTCAGCAAAAATCTTTTATCAGTCAATCCAGAACTTAATGAGTTTAATTCACAAATGTTCACATACTACAGGAATATGCAAAACAATTTGCTAGGCAATATGGATGCACAATATAATAGAATGTGTAATTTACGATTCAAAATTGGGCATGTAACAGTGGATAATGGATATTTAATTGTGCATGCACATTTTCCCTATTTTCTTCCAAAAGAGGACGATATCTGCTTCGTCATGCCTGGAGCTGATCTGTGCTGGTCGCTGAGGAAATACATCATCTCTGCGCTGTCGATCGCCGGATCGGCTTTCACCGTGGACGGGCCCGGGGTCCAGCCCGGGGTCGTCACATGTGGTTACCGCAAGCCCACCTGCCGCCGCTCACTCAAGCCGGCCTCCCCTCACTCTAGGCCTCCAGCCTCCGCTCACTCAAAGCTGCCGTGTGTGACGCTTGTGAAAGCGAAACTACTTTGTTTGGCCCTCCAAAAGAGGACACGACTAGAAATCAGTGGTTAAGTTGTATTTACAACGCTGTTCCAGAACAGTTCAACCCAAATATTCCGATGTGTGCAGCACATTTTATGGAGGACTGTTTCCTGATCCTGGTAGAGTAGACTACAATGCCGGCTGTTCTGACTCACAGACTGTAAGTAACATTTACGTTTTTTTTATATTTAAAGAATTTGCCACTGACGATTCAAATGCGAGTTTTGAGCAGTGTAGAGTAGCGTTTGTAGTTTGTCATTTCTCAGATCACAAATGCAGACATGGTTTTATGTTTACGTGGCGTGATGCAATGCAATGCGTAAAAAGACAGTATAAGTCATCCATAATTATGTCCCAACTGGATGCAACAAATGGGTTTATAATGGGTTTTAATGTTTTTGTCTCGTCGCTCTGGCCAGGACAAGGCATCACAATATGGCAAGGCGGCGTAACATTTCCGTCACACACTTGGAGGTATTCGGCCGATCACAACGCACTGGATAGCTGGCCAATCAGAGCACACCTCGCTTTTCAGACCCATGAGCTTTGTAAAAATCGAAGCGTTTCAGAAAAGCGGGGCATAGAGGAGAAACTATAATGTACAGTATGTGGAAAATGTGTTTTTTGAACCTTAAACCGCAAATACATTTTATTACACCAAATACACAAAATAATGTTCTTTTTAGCAACAACATATGACCCCTTTAATGTTTATTTTAAATATATTTTGACAAAATTGTTTAGAATTTTAATATCCACCATTTATCATTGACTCTTATTTATCATTTATCAGAAAATAATCACTGGCTTATGAGTATGGGAAAGCATTTTAAAATCAGTTCACCCCTCAATTCACCTAACCATATCTCAAGATTATTCCAAATATTGCATGATCAACACACTTTTAAATGGGTCATAAAAATTGTCATGTATCTCAATAAATCAGTCATTTTAATCTGATGAAAGACTCTTTGAAAATGATGCATTATGAAGTCAGAGCCACTCTGGCACATGATTGTGGAGTGATTAAAGCACTGACTGATTTGTGAAGCATTAAGTGTGTTGATCTTTTTACCGTCTTGGCTCTCTCTCAGTAATCATCGTTTCCCCTGTTGATGTCAGTCACTTTTTCCCAAACACTTTGTACAGTTAACAGAAATAAGTGTTTATTGTTTGAAATTTTGAAGTGTTTCTGAAACAGACATCAAAGTTGCTAACCAAATATTTTTTCAAAAGCACACCCGAATAATTTAGATAAGTGTATGTTTTATGGAAATCTCAAAGTCCCAGTGTAACAAAGTGTGCAACCTTGAAATGCTGACAGTTTAGTCTGGACTGGATATTTGATGACAAGAGCCACCACTGAGGTGCATGTAGCGCTAGAAATTACTTGTGTAATGTAATCTCATTGACATGTACCTTTACGGTATTTCTGGAAATGGAAGAGCTCAGACACTCACTTGGAGTCTGGTGGTGAATTTATTGTCCAATATCGATTGGCAGAAATAAATATTGCATAGCTTAAAAGCAGTGCCACTGCCATATTCTCTCTCGCTTCTGTCTCTCTTTGGGCCTGTTGCGAAGTGAGTGATGTGGAGCTGTGGAATGAGAACACGTTGCTCTGACATCGCCGCTGCTCATCGCTCATTCTGTCCCTCTGTGCTGGCCGTCCTGTCACCCCTGAGTGAGGAAAAAAGATTCAATTTCCTCCAGTACTCCCAAATAAAACATGCATAGAGAGGCATGGGAGCGTGGGAGGGAGGGAGGACGACAGGAAGCTAATCAAAGATTGATAGGTGGCACTGCTCTTGCATATTTAGGGCATCCATGCTAGACTTGTCCTCAAAGCGAGTGTGAACACAATTAGTTATATCTCAAAGTTTCTTATATTTCCTTTTTAAAGGAATAGTTCACATATTCATAATATATGCTTCCTAACTGATGAGGAAGCCATACTTAAACTCTTTTAAATTGCACGATCACCCTAGCTTACCGTGCCAGAGTGTTGCTAGGCCACATCCAACAGCAATGAGTTTTATAATGAGACGTTTGCTTTCAGCAAAGACATTTCAGTCAGGTTTGAATGTGGGTCTTGGAACCAAATGTTACTTGCTTTTCATCTCTAATTTGATTTGAAGTGTGCTGTATGCACAGTATATTTGAATGCCAGGGAAACTAACATGATTTTAACTCTTTATGACAGACAGCTTGTAATTTTTCATCGCTGCCTCTTGCAGTAACCTGAACTAACCTCTGTGCTTTTATCTCGGCAGGAGCAGCCTCGGGCAGCACAGACCTTCTCCCGGCGCCTAGCGCTTCCACCAATTGGACGGCTTCCTTGCTGACAGACAATGGCCGAGACAGCGACCTCATCTTCAGATTTGATGGACGACAGGCAGCCAATATCCCAGAGTGGGTCGTGCCACAGAACCTGACAGATCAGTTTACCATAGCAACATGGATGAAGCACGGGCCAAGTCCTGGACTGAGAGCCGAGAAGGAGACATTGCTGTGTAATTCTGATAAAACTGGTGAGCTATGGTGACTCAGTAGGCATGTCTTAAACCTTTAAGAGGGGCAGGGTCTCTCTCTATATACAGTATATGCTTCGTTTTTGTTTTTTGCAAATAGTGCTAAGATATTTTAGAATACGTCTACAGTTTCCTCACCTGGTGATCAAAACACAGTTTGGTAGAATTAAAGAGAAGTTTTATCAGTACCAGACGATGCCCAGCAGCATTAGGGAGAGAGATTAAGACTATGGATTAGATCTGGATTAAAGAGTGGTTCAGAACACAATTCCCTGGAGGTTAAAGGGAAACTTTTGTCAGGAAGAAATGCAGCGTGACTGTCAGCGGCCAGTTCTCTGAGACCGAGTGACTCTGATGGGGGCCGACTGCTTGGCAGGGCTCTTTCGAGTTCATTGATCCCAGGAGTCATGTTGAGTGGGTGTGAGACTTAATCAATTCAACGTGCACTAAAAGCAGTCGCACGAGAGACATCGGGCAGGGGCGCAGAGGCAGCGTTGAGTTGAGTGGAGAGGGGCACCATGTGGAGGAGACTTGGCAGCCACCTTGATCAATGAGAGCTTTCTGAGAAAGCGTGAAAGCAGTCCAGTCTTACTTAGAGTGAGGGAGAGTGAAACGTGTCAGTAACACAGAAGAAACCACTTTAACATGAGTCTCAGATTGAATGGCAGCTCTCTCATGCGCATCCTGTTAGGACCTAGCATTGTTACAAGATGACATTTAGTTTTGAATGAAGCTGAAAAGTAAAAAACAGGTAATACAAGCAGCCTGACAAAATATGACATTTTTCCTGATACCATTAAGCAGATAGCTATTTAAATGAATAAATAAACAAAAATTGCTTGGAATGGTAGAAGTGAATTTAGGTATTGCAACATTATAATGTACTGTACAATATGAAAAATGGATATTGATTTTGAGATTTGCTAAAGGTTAACTTTAAACAGTGTTATTAAGTTATTAGTGCTTTTAAATATCAACGTAAAGTAAGCATTAGATGATGGCAGTGGTAACCCCAAAAAATAGAAACATAATATACATGTTACATAATATAATATATAATTAGTTTTCAGCTGCCATTACTTACACTAAAAAGAAAATAATCTTATTATTATCAATGTTGTGCTGAACAGTTGAAACCATGATACTTTTTTAGGATTATCTGATGAACAGAAAGTTCAAAATAACAGCATTTATTTGAATTATTTTTTAGTAATGATGTTAGACTTGCATATGATTTGTCAATTCATTAATTCTTTCAATGAGTAAAAAGTGCACATTTTAAGCTGTCAGTCAGTCCATCCCTGACTGGAATGATTTCCTTTAGACTTTCTGCAGAACCACGGTATCCGTTCATTTCTCTCTGTGTCAAGTCTTACCTCCTTGTTTGTAGTGTAATTTTTTATGACTCAGACTTGTATAACAGTCTGGAGTTTTTCTAACATGACTATGCAGTTCAGACAAACTCTCAGAGCAAGGCATGGAAATCTATAAATGTACAGTAAATCTTTAATCAACATGACGTTCTTGCTTTGCCAACCATTGTGAGTGATTTGTAGAAAAGTTATTTTACAGTTCTAAAAAAAACAACAACATATCACTTATTTGCCCTGTCTTGCAGTATTTTTTGACGCGTTTACATTAAGGCTTTTCTGTGTTTTCTTTTTGCAGAGATGAACAGGCATCATTACTCTTTGTATGTCCATAACTGCCGTCTGGTGTTTCTTCTGAGGCGAGACTTTATTCAGCTGGACTCCTTCAGGCCAGCAGAGTTCCACTGGAGACTGGAACAGGTGAGGAGCCCCCAGGGCACCCATCACACATGCACATCAGCATCACAACCAGCCCTCTGATAAACAGGACGGGGAAAATGCCACACGGATTGGGCTCCATTTATAGTAATCACATGTGAAGTGAAGTTTGCTCTGTATAATTTTCAATTACCTACTTTTGAATTATTCATTATCTGTGTGACTGATTTTTCCATTGCGTCAAGTGATCTGTCACTGGTAAAATTATTATTATCAGAAGGACAAATTGGAAAGCTGACAAAAAATGCCGGGCATGCATGTTTTCTCTCCCAGTGCTTATTTGGCTCATAATCCGGCTTGTTTGTGTTCGGAAACACCTTAATTTTCTCAAATTTTCAGCATTTCCCTTGGCGAATGTTGAGTGCAGACTAATCTTTTGATTGAGAGCACTAAATGGACTTTATATTTGTGTCACCGTGCCTCTCAACGCTTGCCAAGGGGAACAGAGAGCCCAGGTGAGACACGTGTAATCAGTATGAAAAGGTCTCCACAGTAATGACCTCTTGCAGGGAACATAATGATAGTCCTTTGCCCACACCAGTCCTTAACAGCAAATTACAAGCACATACACATTCTCACATCCAGATGTGCACTAGCACAAGTGCAGCATCTCTGATCTTTCTGAGCTGCTGTTAATGTATGTGTATCTATTGAATAAACACCCCGTATATATGTCGATGAAAGACATTTTTGTCCTTTCCAAATGCACAGAACAGGTCGTTGGCTGAGAGGACTTTGATCAATAGTCCAGATCAATTACTGTAAGTAGGACTCTGGAGTTCAGGTTTTGATCATAGTCCAGAAGCTTATGTGCGCCACAATTTTTTTTGCAGATGTTTTGATTAGCCAAACTAAGATGTGAGAAATTTGGCTGCGTGAGTAATATTACATTTGTTTTCTCACTGTGGCAGTTGTCTAGCGTAGTGGTGAAAGATTTGGGATGGTATCAGAAATCTCATACATTTGAGTCCCTCATAGGACGAGACATGAGCTTTGGCTGTTGTGCCCTTGAGCGAGGCACTTAACCTCAGGTCACTCCAGGAAAATTGACCCTGTAAAGGGTGATTTGCAGTGACAAAGCAATTGGAAGTCATTGACTTTTAGCTGCCATTGGAGGCAACATGAACAACAGAGACTCTTAGCGATACTAAAGTTCAACGTTATCCAAATATTCTGTGATGTGATGTGTTTTGCCTCATGATACACTTTAGCTGTTACTTGCTACTAGCAACCAACAGAACAGCTACTTGGCAACCATGTTTAATCTCTGTGGTTGGTCTATTTACATGTAAGTCAGTCACAGTTTCTTCCTGTCCAGATTGGTGGTTCTTGGCCAGAATAATGGTTTGGCTACAAAACGACAACAAAACAGGGCATACAAATATGATATTGTTTTACTAGGTAAGATCAATTAACTTTAAAAATATTAATATATATATATATATTTTTTTATATTAATATCTTTAAGAAACCTATATACACTACAGTTTTAAGTTTTGGTTCTGTACGTTTTTATTTATTTATTTATTTTGTTTATTTTTTATTTTTTAAAGAAATTAGTACTTTTATTCAACATTAAATTCATCAAAAGTGATAGATGTTTATAATGTTACAAATAATTTCTGTTTTCAACTTTCTCTTCATCAAAGAAACCTGACAAAAATGTATCACTGTTTCCACAAAAATATTAAGCATTTCAACTGTTTTTAACATTGATAATAATTAGAAATGTTTCTTGAGCACCAAATCAGCATATTAGGATTTCTGAAGGATCATGTGACATTAAAGTCTGGAGTAATGACTGCTGAAAAATCAGCTTTGTAATCACAGGAATAAATTACATTTTAAAATACAGTTAAATAGACAGTTATATTAAATTGTAGTAGGGGTGCTCCGATTGATCGCTTTGGGTAGTTTGATCAGTGGTCTCTATGAAGGCCGAACTCATTGACCGATCTCAGACTGACAACATGCCTGCCGTGAGAGGTTTGGCATGACATGCAGCTCTATCGTCTCAATCTCTGTCCGGCGCAGGTAAAATCATTATAATGCTGAAGGTGAGGTACAATTCATATTTCTTTATTAAATAACTTACAAAGTCATTTGAAAACTTTCTGTGAGACATAATTTCACAAACAGTGTGAGTGAATCACCGCACGCTCTCTCTCTTTCCTTCTCAAAATGTGCGAATGGCTTCCAATCACCACATCGCATCTGCACTATAAGCGAGCTGCACAGTTGACACAGGAATTGTCACTTGCACAATCGAGGCAGTGTCGCATCGTCACTAAAGCTTATAATTTGCTTTTCTTTTTAAGTCTTGCCAGTGTTTAAACCATTAAGCACTTGCACTCTCCTAGAGACGGCGCGCTCATGCACACTCAAAGCGCACACACATAAGGCCGCCACACATACAGCTCACAAAATCAGGCTTGTGCTGTGTGTAAGCTACTGTGCAGCTATTGCCCCATCGTAAAAACAAAAATGCACTGCATGATCAAATAATTAGGTGAGATACTTGTATATTTTTGATCCCCCCCCCTATTTTTGATTTGGAGCACCCTTAAATTATAATAATATTTCACAATATTATTTCCTGTTTTACTGTATTTACAAAAGCGTAGTATAACAAACTCATGTGCATTCCTATTTTTTATGTATTTTAAGTTTATATATGTCATAATTTGTGTGTTTTTAACCAGCATATAATTATTCCAGGGAGGCGTAGAGTCCATGTTGACTGCAATTATTGTGACAATAAACAAGAAGCTCAGTTTGACAACTGGTTCTGCCTCAGTGTTCTTGACGGCTATACTTAGTTTATTACAGGTCAGAGGGAAAATGAGCTCCTTTCAAAGCTTCAGCTCCTTTTCTGTGGTCAGGCAGAACTCAGCCAGGTGATGAGGAACACAAGTAAACAATATTAGGTCAGTAGAAAGGCTGCCATGAAACAATGTCAGCTGAAGGAACCACGCTTTTACCTACAATCCTGTCAACATCCACCACTTGAAACTGCAGAGAAAAAAGACTCCATACAGCTGCTGGTTTGTGTTTTACCGATATGCTGTGATATTCTCTGTGTCTTTTTTGTACATTTATCTTTCGTGACCACTTTGTTGATTTTTGTTGGGAAGAGTATTTCTTTGCATCTGATATCTGCTTGCAAATGAAAGCGTGCGAAAATGAAGAGAGTGTGAGAGAAGGTGTGAATGTGCTTGTTTACACTTCAGTGCATTTTCTCTCTTCCTGTTTTCCCTGCCATGTACCTCTTCTCCAGCATAGTTTGATAATGGTGTCTCTCCAGTTTGGAGGCAGTAAACAGAATATGCTTGCCTTGATCTCAGAGCACAGCACAGCTCTCTTCCCGACATAAGACACATCTGCTTTTCTTTCTTTTCCCTCTGCCCTCCCTTTGACTACTTGCCACTGATACCTAAACAACAGATTATCCTGTTGTAAATGATGCCATAGTTAGTTTGGCTTTTATCTTTAATCCCAACAAACAAAGTTTCGACTCTTCTGCATAATGTCTTATCCACTTTTCAGCTTGTTTGGGCCAAGCGCAACCTATTTAGATAGGAAAAAATAAAAAAAGCGACCAGTGTGATGTTGTTGTTGTTTGGTGACATTTAGGGGTAAGTTAATATAAAATCTTTGAATTTCATTGTACTGCACTGCTTTTAATGTCATCAGACAGAGATTTTATTTAGAACGTTTTCTTAAGGATGTAAAATGTCAATAGGAAAACTTACAGAATTTTTATTCCAAGTAATAATTATTATTATTTTTGAAAGAAAGAAAAAATTATTGTATTCTGCAAGGATGCATAATGCTACAGAATATTTATTTTTCAAGAAAGGTAAGCTTTGCCATCAAAGGAATTAATGACATTTTAAAATATATTAAAATAGAAAACAGCTATTGTAAATTGTAATAATGTTTCATTATATTACTATTTTACTATATTTTGATTAAATATAAAAGCAGTCTTGGTGAACATAAGAGACTTAAAAAATAATTTAAATCTTCTCAACCCCACACTTTTGAATGGTTGTGTAAATCACTTATCCCAACTTTTTATCCCTTGCCTTCTTTTTAATGTTCATTATGTACACCGTTAGACTTTTTATTGTATTTTTGTGGTAACTTACTGGCAGCACTATTGCCAGTAAGTTACTGTAACTACCCCTTAACAGTAGCTTATCGCAAATTCATTTTACAGTATAATGCCCTTACCGCAATTTCATTTTACAGTATGTTGGCCTTACCGCAATTTCATTTTACAGTATAATGCCCTTACCGCAATTTAATTTTACAGTATGATGGCCTTACCGCAACTTAATTTTACAGTACTATATCCTTATATCCTTACTGTAACTTAGTTTTACAGTATAATATTACAGTAATTTATTTGATAAAACCTTTGAATATTTTACATGAATCCCATTGAATTTAATAAATTCCAAATAAGTGACCTGATTCCATGTACAACAGTATATGTTTTATTCACTGTCACTATTAAATACATCCATTACTTATGTATTGTGCTTTATTCTGGAACATTACACACACACAAAATTGAGAACTGAATTCATAACACCAAATCAAAGCAGAGATCATGACAATATTGCAACAAAAAGAAATATGGCAACAAGCATCCTAGTTGGTCTTGGCTGTATGGCCTCCTTAACCACTGACAGCTATAAATATATTTTATTTTTTAATAATTTTAAAAAATGCATTTATTTCACCACACTTGTGCTTACCCAGACATTATACTGAGAATGCAGATTCATGTTTTTCATCTGCAGAACAATTTACAGTAGCACTACTGCTTTTGAGCAAACAGTAAAGTACCGCAAATTCACATATACAGTAAATGACTGTAAATGGCAACTCCATTAATTGCCTGAATGTACAATCACATTAAAGAGTAACTTTATGGTCCTTTAAACTTAAAGTTTGAACTTTTTTTGGAAGTG